GTGTGTATGTGTATGTGTATGTGTATGTGTATGTATATGTATATGTATATGTATATGTATATGTGAATGAATGAAACCCACAGTCCAATCATGAGAATCCATAGAGATAGTAAGCGTATTCTTAATGTCTCTGTTTGGTTTTCTCCTAGGCTTACCTACCAATGGCCAACCAAGAGATCGTAGCACTTGTGGTGGACAATAGCACCAGAAACTGCAGAGCAGGAGTTGCTGGAGAGGACCTGCCCAGAATAGTACTTCCTCCCATCATAGGGAGGCCCAAGCTGCAGAGTGTGGCGGAAGACACCAACAGAAAGGCCTACTATGTAGGAAGCGATGCTCAGAGCAGGAGAGACCTCTTGACCTTGAGGCACCCCATTGAAAATGGCTTTGTTGTGAACTGGGATGACATGGAGAAGATTTGGCACCATGTCTTCTACAACGAGTTGCAGGTGGGCCCGGAGGATCATCCAGTCTTACTGTCCGAGCGTCCCGTGGACAGTGGAAGGAACCGGGAGAAGATGGCCCAGATCATGTTCGAGAGCTTCAACGTGTCAGCCTTCTACTTGGCCATCCAAGCCGTCCTCTCCCTCTATGCTTCCGGCCGCACCACTGGAGTAGTTCTGGATATAAAGAACGACCGGATGGATCCTGTCCCCGTCTACGAAGGCCATGCTGTCTCCCATGCTCTCTTCCGCATGGATCTGGGTGGCGAAGACCTGACCAACTTCCTTCTGCAGATGCTGAATCAAAGAGGCTACCACATCAAACCAGAAGAGAGGGAGATTGTGGAGGACATCAAGGAGAAGTTTTGCTACGTGGCCCCGGACTATCAGAAAGAAATGGCCACCGCTACACCCTCTTCTTTAGAGAAACACTATGAGCTACCCGACGGGCAAGTGATCACCATTGACACCGAGCGTTTCAGGTGCCCAGAAGGCCTCTTCAACGCCGCATATCTGGGTAAAGAATGTTGTGACATCCACGAGACTGTCTTTAATGCTGTAATGAAGTGTGACCGGGATCTCCGCAGCACAATGTTTAAAAATATCGTGCTGGCAGGCGGCACCTCCATGTTCCCTGGCTTTGCCGAAAGGTTGCAGCCCGAGGTGGTGGCACTGGCTCTCCCAAATACAGAGGTCAACATCGTTGCCCCCCCAAATCGCACGTGCTCAGCGTGGGTTGGGGGCTCCCTCTTAGCTTCCCTTCCTCACTTTCAGGATATGTGCATCAGCAAACAGGAGTATGAGGAATTTGGCCCGGCTCTTGTACACAAAATACAAGGGGTTGAGGTAATTCCCCGTTCGGAGAATGAGCGCATACAGGGAGACGTATAGAGAGTAGTGTTGGAATAATACACACAGAGCACACAGATACACAGTACAGTAAATGTAGTTTTTTACTTCCAGAAAGGTTTAAGCAAAGTCCAAAATAAGCAGTCCAAAAGCCATTCACAGGTAAATCAGTCAGTTTTTCAATCCAGGGATAATCGAAATATCAAATTCCAGTGTCAAAAACAGTTCAGTATCAGACTTACATCAAATCCAGTAATATCAGTCAATGGAGGAAGGCAATACTTTCCAACAGAGGGAAAAAGATACTCACTCAGACACACTCTCTTCTGAGACTAAGACTAAACAACCCAGGTTTCTGGCTCCATCTTATGGCTGTTTGAGAAACCACACCCAATTGCATGCTCTTGCATTCCCTTAAAGATATAGTACTAAAATGTTTATCCTGGTTTATATATTTCTAACCCAAATACCTGTTAGGTGACTTATATTCCTAACAACAGTCTTATATTTTGAGGGCTTTGGGGTTTGTTTGGTTTTTTTGCTGCTTCTGCCACAGTTTGAAGTTGTATTAGAAGCAGAATAACAGAATAACCAAGTTGGAAGGGACCTTAGAGGTCTTCTAGCCCAATCCCTTTGCTCAGGCAGGAAACCCTGTATCATTTCTGCCTCTGAAATGAGGTCTACCCTTTTTTATGGAATTGGCAACCTGCGAAGTAATGGTTGTTTTAAGTGGTCCCAGTTTGTAAATCACTTGGAACATTGACTCTATGTATCCCAGGCTCTAAGGATGGAAACTTTTTTAAAAAAGAGAGTAATCATCATACTTGTAACATCAATATCTGAATCTTTAACCAATATTGCTAGAGCTAGAATATCTGCTTTTTTCCTGTTATCTATATTCAGTTCTCTAAGGCACCTTATTATTAATTCTCTATTATTATCTGTATGGTTTGCCAGTTGCACAGTGGCAGATAGGACAGCACTCCAGAGGGTTAACACCATTGCCCAGAAAATCATTGGTTGCCCTCTCCTCTATTTGGAAGAGCTTTAAAGCTCCTGCTGCCTTAAGAAAGTTCAAAACATTCTTAAAGATCCATCTCATCCTGGGAACCCTTTTTCTGAACTATTACCATCTGGCAGAGGGTACAGGATAATAATAAAAACAAGGACAAATAGGCTGAAAAACAGCTTCTGTCCCAGGGCAGTAACTGTTTTGAATTCTACTGTATAGTGCAATATTAATGCAATATCAAGGGTTTTCAATTCAATGTGTGGAGTGTGAAGGATGTATGTTTGTGTTTATTTTCATGGTCATGATGTGCACTGAAAATGGTATTTGATTTCATTGTACAAGGTGCAATGACAATAAAGTAAACTAGCTAACTAATTAGAGTATTAGGTATCTAAATGTATTCTTTCAATATGGCATTTTAAAAAAACCTTATACCCAAATTGAGAAAATGGAGCAATAAGGGTCTAAATAAATAAATGAATGGATTGAGCTTTATGAAGATATCTTTTAGTTTCTTCGAATATCTCTCATTTAATTACTGCACTGTATATTCCTTTCTGATTTTATTAGCCCTGTTATATTTATAGTTACTCTTCATTCTATTTTCTGGTGGTTATATGTCACTATTTTTTTCAAAAAAGAAAAGAAAGCCAAAGAAGAGATTTTTGACCATAGATGACAAATCATCCTTTCTTGCATCTACAAGTTTGGCATAGTCGTGCAATATGGATTTGTGTACTGTGGATTTTTAATACTTGTAAGCTTCCCAGAGCCACTATGTCTAAGATGGGCAACCATGTAAATTTAATGAACAAATAATTGGTTCAGTCATGATCCTCCAAGGGACTGATCTTAAAGTACCTTTGTAATACTTGTGTAATTAAAAAAAAAAAACGTTTTGTGACTTGGTTTGTTTCTTCTTCTTGTGCCATATCTACCATCGGACATTGGCGATCCTATTGGCGATCCTATTTTATCAACAGCCACATGAAAAAGTGAAGCTGAGTTTTGTCCAAACTTGGATTTTGAAGCCATCTTATTCTGCCTGGACCTCGTTTGCCTTCAATCTTTCTTCGGAGGATGAAGTGAAGTATGGCGTATTTTTCTGGGTGTCCCATCCCATGTCCGAAATTTCTACCTTTGTTTCTATTAGTTGCCAATATAAGTAAAACTGGCTGTTTTTAAAATTAATGACAATAATAATCCCAAAAGGGGTATGTAGTCCTCCTGTATAGGGAATAAATATACATTTCCACATTTCCTTGCCCTCCAAAGGTTGGAGTGTGAAAACCATAATAAAGGATGCCCCTGGTTTGCTGTAGCACTTTTGAATCCCGCGCGCCCATTGGCCACCTCCCCCGTCCCTCTCTCTCTTGATTGGCGAGGACGCGGAAGGCCGCGACGCCACAATGCCGCCCGGGAATCCTTCCGGACTGCAATTCCCAGCATCCCTTTCTTTAACACAGAGGGCGGAGCTTCCGCCGAGGTTTCGTCGCCTCGTTTTGCTGGGCTCTTCCTTTTCCCACCCGGCGCGGCTTGGCTTAGCAGGGGATGTGAGAGGGCTCCTTCCGGCCGCCTACAACCCCCGGCATGCCTCGCGCGGGCTCGGGCAAGCGTTTCCGGTTGGAGCAGCCGGCTGGTCGTAAACAGCCAGGTAAGGAGGAATAAAGGTAGTCGGTGGGGGAGGGGAGGCTGGAGGAGGGGAGGGGGGAGATATGGAGGGTCTGTTGGGGGGGTGTCCCCCCCTTCCCCCCCCCTCAGAAAGCATAGCATTGAATCTGCGGGCCCATGACTCACCTGGGCCACTATTATTAAAGGAAGACAGTGATGCCCAATGGGTAGAGCTGACCAGTGTGGCCTTATTTTGGGGGAGGGGGCTGGGGGAGACCCTGTCGTTGGTTCAACTCTATTTTCCTGCAAGGCTTACCCCGAATCCTCTTCCCCAGGAAGCCCCGGTGGGCTCCCCCATTCATGCCTACTCTCCTCCTAACAACCCTGCGAGGTAGGCTGCCTTGTGCCAACTGGCCTTCTGTTCGGTTTGGGAGAACCTGGCCTGGCCTGGGCGCCTAGAATTGGAGCTGTTTTGAGATGGGGGGTGGGTGGGGGGGAGAGAGAGACGGTATGGGTGGGTGGACGGACGGACATTCTCAGTCATCCAGGTCATGGTTCTTGAAGGAAGGACCTTTGGGATAGATAGGAGATGGATGCTCTAGATAGGTAGGTAGGTAGGTAGGTAGGTAGATAGATAGATAGATAGATAGATAGATAGATAGGGGAGGAATAGCAACAGACAGATGGATATAGATAGATAGATAGATAGATAGATAGATAGATAGATAGATAGATA